TTTTATTTAACTTAAAGAGACTGTCATAGTAATTTCAATTGAAGCCGGATATGCCCCTCTTTAAATGTACATTGTACGTATAGCCACTTGAAATTACTACTGCAGTCCCTCGAAAGGTTTAACATAAGATAATGCTTATTCAGCCTTTTCAAAAGCGTATAAAAAAGAAAATTGTCCTTTATATCTGTAGATGGATTATTTTTATGAGTTATTTGTTATACTACACATTTTATAGAATATTATACTACACATTTTACTGTTTAACCCAGAACTTCGGAGTCATCAAAAGAATTTATAGAATGTCGTCTTGTCAATTTTCGATGGAATTTGTACCATTATACGGCTAATTCTTATTAATTGTAAAATAAATGAATCGACATGTAAAGAGATCCATATGATTAATCAATTGATAACTCAACTAAATATCTGCATCAACTAGCAAGTTGATTTTAAATCTACTGGTAAAATCTTTGTTTTTAAAACAACATCAATTACACATACAGGGTTTCTTCAATATTGGCTTCCTATTCCACATGTTTAAAGATGCTAGGTATTTTCCTCAACGGCAACTTCCCAAGTTTGTCATAGCCGCAGAACTCGGTTCTCTATAGCCTGTTTAGCCACAGGCGCTGGCTCCCTTTTGTAACATGCATGACGCATGCCCAACCTAACCTTTGGAAAGTTGTCGCTTAATGGAAAAACCATATTTGGGAAGTGACCAATTGGGAAATTGTCACTTGGGAAGTTGCCCTTGGGAAATTGCCTAACACCATTTTAAAGGTCTCGCAGTATGTAAATTAATAGATAGATTAGATTAGATAGGTAGATAGATTAGACAGATAACAATTTGTTAATATTCTAATGAATATATAAGGAAGGTAAACAAACAGTACTCTGAGCAAACATATCGGTTTCGGACATAATATGAAACCTGCATTAGACTTTCTCATCAATAATATTATATACAGGGTGTCCCAAAAAACATGGGAATTCAGTGAAGAATTTGATATCGTCTTTGCAAGATGAACAAGTTTACTCTGTTTGTATACTTCAATTTTCTTGTTTTACTAAGTACAACCGTATGCAGTCAAAACATAAACAAACAAAATGTGAACATAGCAGACGAAACTCTTACAGATTACAGCTTTCTCTGTAGGTATCACTATACTAAATCAAAGAATTATTTGAAAAGACGATATCGAATTCGTCACTGAATTCCCATGTTTTTTGGGACACCCTGTACAATCTCATCAGAATATAATTATAAGCATTTTGGACCTAAACCGACTAAAAACATGAAAGGGCCTTTAAGCTAAAAAGTTGCATGTTTGATTTACCGTTAACCCTATTCCGACTGACGTCTGGTTTACCAAAAATAGACGGGGGGGGGGGGGGGCAGTTGACTTAACCCCGCTCCCTCTATTTTCTTAATGTGATACAAATATATTACTTTTAATACGTTTTTGGATTGCCCTTGGAGTTGGACGCTACTTAAATAACTGCACAAAAATCGCAAATTTTTAAAAAATTAAAATATTTATTGCGAAATCTAATTATGTAGCAAAAATGTGCGAAAACAAAATTGCACAAAATGCGTATTCTCTACATTTCAGAAAAGCCACAGCGAATGAATTCAAATATGCAAAAAAATGTTGCAAACTTTTCATAACATAAATGCAACAATGCAAACAAATTTCTTTTAAGGCGTCTGTGCAGAATCGTTGCAAAATTTGTGCAATCTGCTTTCTTTTTATCATTTTAGGCTTTCCAAATTGTGGAAATCCAATGAGTGAAAGTAGGTCCAAATATAGTATATGATCCTCCCCCCCCCCTTATGGGTATATTAAGTGCGGACAGTTTTTACTTTGATGGAAAACAAAATATAAAAAGTAAAAACCACAGCAAAAACTTTTAGCATGCATGATATACCAATTACAATAACATGCATATAGTTTTATTCAATTTTACTTGTTTAATAGCAGGTCGATAAGGTTACTTTACCACCCTGCTGTAAAGTAACTTTATCACACTACAACGGGAAAAATTAGGTATGAAATATTAGGTGTGATACAGGGTGTTCCACGAAACATGACAGTTGATGAATAGCTTGAAATGTTAATGAAACAGAATTAGACTGGCTGAACTATAGTGGCCTAGCGTTATACTGTACTAGCTGTACCGGGCCGGGTGTATTCAGGGAAAATAGGGAAAGTACTTTTTCAAATTCTTTTGTTAATTTTAGTTTAGGCTATGAATCAAATACCTTAATTATTCTTTTCAAACATTTCATTCGTTAACGTAACTCTAGCCAGACCTTTGTGTATACTAACTGGACAGCTAACCCTGCGTTTGTTTATAATGTACAGGAATCTTATCGGTGTACTGTCTGTACTCTCTGTACCCTGTATTCTATTGGGCTACCTAACCCTGTATTTGATTATAATTTACAGGAATCTCAGCGGTGTACTGTCTGTACTCTCTGTACCCTGTATTCTATTGGGCTACCTAACGCTGTACTTCTTCTTCTCCTTTATGTTCTGGATCAACGCTATGGCAGCCAGGAAACATTTATCTCAAGATTAAAGGGATTGTTTAGTAATTCGAAAGAATTCATCAAATGTCGTATTCTTCACTTTCTAATAATGGAATGTTGAAGATATTTAGTTTTTTAAACTAAATGATTATATGGAACTCTTTAAAACTGTTCCTGCATATTCATGGCTATTTATTTATTTTCGCAAATACTGAAATTTACGAAATATAGTATAAAACTCATTGAAAAATTGTCAAGACGACATTTGATAAATTCTTCCGATGTATTCGTTATTAAGGGTTTCACTGTGAATGGTTCACGCAACTTTTAAAGGAACTGTAAGCGTAATTTCAAATGACCTTGGCAATGTCCTAATCACAACAGCACATTAAAAAACTTTATCTGATTTAATATGAATTAGATATCAATGTTTATAATTTCAATAACTTTTGTAAACTCGCGCATTTGTACTGCAGGAAAAGTATAGGAATCGTCTGATTTAAGTACTTTTAAACCTAGTAAAACGACAATAGCTTCCATATTACTGATAAGATAAAGGTAAATTTTTTGAATCTTTGCATTTAGGGTCACTTGAAATTTCGCTTACAGTCCCTTTAATTTGTTTCTTTCTTTGATTTTTTTATTCATTCATTCAAGGACTTTCTTCTAGCTGTCAGACCAAATTAAGCAAGCTATTATAATCAATGCTTTAAGAGTCTTAAGTCGTCGTTAAAGCTTAATTCTGTCTGGGTTATTTTAAACACAGTGTACCGATAACATTGGAAATAAGTGACACCTTCTATAACGTCTTTATTCTGCATGGAGGTATCATGTCAACACATTTTTGTAGTATTTCAGTTTAAACAGTCCATAATTTAAATTTGGGAATTCCAAAATGTGGTCTAACATTATTGCACCGTTAAAATTAACGGAAATATTAATAAATGTGTCCAGATTCTAATTAACTAAAATCAAAATCTTTGAAATATTTTGAAAAAAGAAGGCAGACTACATTTACGAAAGCTCATAAGACATATATACAGTCTTTATTTGATAGCCTCCTTTTTATTCATTAATTATCAGGGTGTCCCATGTTTATTGGGACACCCTGTACCAAAGGTTTTACTGTAGACTCAAAAAAATTGCAAAATATCTCAATGTTTTAGTCGTCCATTATCAAATTATACTTTAAACGTTAAAGAGGAATACAAACTTTATTTCTTTGATGTCTTAAAACAATTGGTAACGTGTTAAAATATGTTTCAGAGACATTTTATATTTTATTTCATTGCTTGTTTTCCACTAAAAGATGGTAACAACCCATTGGATTCTGCAATGGGTTGAAAAAGAAAAGATATATTATTTTATTCAACAACAAAACAAACTCAAAAACATAACTTGAAGTGGGGTTTCAATTATTCAAAAACAATTCTATTAATTACCAAAACTAAACCTATAGTATCCTTCAATGATATCCCTGATGTTTGCAATGTTTTTTCTTTAACATTTTACATCTAAACTGTTGAGAATAATCTCCAATTATTTTATAGATTAAAATTTAATTCCCTACAAAGTTTTTATACTTTGCAATTGTGCAAATGCCGTTGTGTTCACTGTAAAATATTTTGGATGAATAATAAGGGCACTAATATCTTAGAAACAACCTATTTATCGCAAACTTTTTTGCAGAACAATTTTTCAATGATAATTTTTGTGTTGATGTCGAGTTTATATATAATATTAACCAAAGTAAATATTTATCCACAGATCCTTCTATTTGTTCCAGTCTTATGTGATATAATAAAAGGTTTTGTTATTATTAATATGTTCGGTATTCTTAACAGATAAATATTCGGGTTTTGTCAAAACTAAGTTGCATTTTTCACAAATGTTGTAAAAAAAAGATTTTACCAATCGTCGTTTTTAAAATCGCTTCAGTCAAATTTTTTGGCCTAATTAAACTTTTGAAAATTACAATTTTGCAATATTAAAATAAACATCCCAGATTAATAGAAGGCTCTTAAAAAAAACATTGCATGTTTAAAACGGACCATAAAACGTTACAGGTTATAAACGGACCATAAAACGTTACAGATTAAAACAAACCATAAAACGTTACAGGTTTATTAAGGAACCATAAATCGTTACAGGTTAAAAACGAACCATTTAACGTAATAGGTTATAAAGAAACTATAAAACGTTACAGGTTTAAAATGAACCATAAAACGTTACAGGTTTAAAATGAACCTTAAAACGTTACAGGTTTAAAAGGAACCATAAAACGTTACAGGCTAAAAATGGACCATAAAACGTTACAGGCTAAAAATGAACAATACGATGCCAATCTTTAAACGTTCCAATTAAAGGAGAAAAAAAGCACGGTCAAATGAAAAATTCAAAAGGAATTAAGTCTTTGCCACAAACTTAGATATTTCAAACTATGAATTCAGAAACTAAAATGAAATGCTTACAACATGAGAAATAGGCATTAGGATACTTAATTTTGTTACAAAGACTCAGTTCCTTTAAGATATAAAACAGGGTGTTTCGCTACTTAGCGATTTCCCTAAAGACCTAATATATATACCGTGTGGTATTTCTCAGGACCGGATCGTAAGACTCCCTTCTCTCAACGCTCTTCATAATAAAAGGATGATAGTAAGGTTCCGAACGTTTATTTCTCTGAGCCTTCAATCTAAATAAGTTTAATAAACCCACAGAAAAAGCTTTGAGTGATAAATCATACGAATACAACAAATAATTCACTCAGGCATTAAAAAACTGTGGCTAGGAACCAACAAACACATATATAAATATCAATCATACTATAATCAAAACGATAAGCATAAGTATATATAAAAATAGTTACCACAGTGATCCCAGAATTCTGAACATAGTTAAAACTTGCAAGACGAATAAACATATACTGATATAAATTATTCACTACTCCGCGAGAAATCTTGCGCCTGCGTAGTCAGTCTGTAAACAGTTCCTAAAACTAGTTCTTTCACAATACATTCCGTACAGATCTTCAGGGAGAACTCAGAAATACACAGGGGTGACAAGCAGACTTTATACACGCAGCATGGCTCGCGTAACACAGGGTGTTCACAAAACATCAAAATTAAGGGACGACCTAAGGATTTTCGTGAGCACAAAAAAGACAGACTACGTTTTAAAATGCTTTGATTTAGGTTTGCTATCGTTGGTTTAATAATCATATTATATATGATTCTTTTTTGGTCATAACAAAGCTTCTAAGGTGCCACTGTGAATCGGAAATACAAGTTTATCGAGGAAAAGGCACTTGAAATTACGTAAATTTTAGTTGGGCCTTAACTTAACCGCCATGTTTTATGTCTGTAAAAAATATAAAAATAAGAGATAAATGGTTTAGTATTTGCTTCAAGTTCAGCTCTATCCTATCAACACAGACAGATAACGAGAAGAAGAGATTTATCATGAACTTTCTTTACGCACAGGTCAAACATTTATAATGAACTTTCTTTACGCACAGGTCAAACATTTATCATGAACTATCTTTACGCACAGGTCAAACATTAATAATAAACTTTCTTTACGCACAGGTCAAACATTTATCATGAACTTTCTTTACGCACAGGTCAAACATTTATCATGAACTATCTTTACGCACAGGTCAAACCGTCAAACATTTATCATGAACTATCTTTACGCACAGGTCAAACATTTATAATGAACTTTCTTTACGCACAGGTCAAACATTTATAATGAACTTTCTTTACGCACAGGTCAAACATTTATCATGAACTATCTTTACGAACAGGTCAAACATTTATCATGAACTATCTTTACGCACAGGTCAAACATTTATAATGAACTTTCTTTACGCACAGGTCAAACATTTATCATGAACTATCTTTACGCACAGGTCAAACATTTATAATGAACTTTCTTTACGCACAGGTCAAACATTTATAATGAACTTTCTTTACGCACAGGTCAAACATTTATAATGAACTTTCTTTATGCACAGGTCAAACATTTATTATGAACTTTCTTTATGCACAGGTCAAACATTTATAATAAACTTTCTTTACGCACAGGTCAAACCTTTATCATGAACTTTCTTTACGCACAGGTCAAACATTTATCATGAACTTTCTTTACGCACAAGTCAAACATTTATAATGAACTTTCTTTATACACAGGTCAAACATTTATTATGAACTTTCTTTATGCACAGGTCAAACATTTATAATGAACTTTCTTTATGCACAGGTCAAACATATCATGAACTTTCTTTATGCACAGGTCAAACATTTATTACTTTCTTTACGCACAAGTCAAACCTTTATCATGAACTATCTTTACGCACAGGTCAAACATTTATCATGAACTTTCTTTACGCACAGGTCAAACCTTTATTATGAACTTTCTTTACGCACAGGTCAAACCTTTATCATGAACTTTCTTTACACACAAATCAAACCTTTATCATGAATTTTTAAAGCGCTTTGCGCCCACTTTTTATATAAATTTTATATGTTAGCTATTGCTCTATTATACTGTTCCTGTTTAAATTTGAGCAATTTCGAAAATGATGAATATCGACATTTTTTCAGACAAAATATATTACCCCCCGATTTTTTTAAAATTTATTTAGTTTTTTTTTTCAACAGACATGGTTTAACAAAATTGAGTCTATATGTTTTGTTTCTGATTTGTCCAAAAACTGTTAAATTTTAGAGCAAAATAAAGTTTTTTCTTATAAACATGTTTTAAAAAGATATTTGACAATTTGTTCATCAAAATCTGTTTTAAACATGTTTTCATATCAAAATCCGTCCTTTTTGGTTTTCCTCGTAAAATCAGTTTTTGCCACTAACTCAACGTTTTATTTTGAACGATTTTGTAGAGACCTCATTTAACATTGAATGTCAAATTCTACAAAACAATTAATGCAAGATTAAAAAATAAACATAGATAAAAAAGCAGATTTTATTTAGATTCTTCTTGGAATTCTAAACATCAAAAATATACTTTTTATTTCCTTACATATGGTTCAGAAAAATATTGGTTTCGCAAAGAAATTGAGTTTTATAATTCCTACATCTTTGCAACCTGATGGTGCAAATCTTTGGTAATTTGATCTAACTGCAGGACTATAAATTTAAAATATCTAAAGTCCACGACATCGGGTTGCAAAGATATAAGAATTAGAAAATCAGTGTTTGTGATAGAAACTCAAATAGGGTTTACTTTAGGGTTTACCAGTTGTTCTCTGTATAATCATAGCTGAGATAGACAGGTAGGAATCAATAGGCTTGATAAATCAGGGCGCGTCGCGCCTTTTAAAAAGTCTTTTGTGAGCGAGCCTTTTCTCTCCAAATACCTCTGTATAAAAAAAATCTTTAAAATGTTTAAATACACCTTTTTAAACAGCCCCCCCCCCCCAATTTCCGTAAAAGTTCGTTAATGAGATCGACTCCCACTCCCATTTTTCATATCATAATCTGAGTTTGTTTCTCTTTTTTCATTTGACAACCAATTTTTTTTTGACAAAGTTTTTTTTTAAAATTGATTTTGATAGTTATTTTTATCGTTAGAACGGAAGAGGGTCCACCCACGCACCCCTAACTCTTTAGTAAAAGTAAATTCAACCTAAAGTATGACCGCGTCAACCTTGTTGCACCGGCTGGTCCTGTCCAAAGAGCTAGGTACAGTACAAACTAGGACCGGAAAGGTTGACCCGGCTCGGAAATTCAAATGTACTACGGCTGCCCGTGCCCAAAACCCAAATATATTTTCAAAAAATCTGGAACTAACATCTATTGTTTTACGCTGCGAAGTTTGAAGCAACATTAACACCGAATTTTAAAATCTAACTCATGCTACCGAGGAGTGATTAAAATACGAAACAATTTGTACACCAATAAAATAGAAAAATAATCTGTGTTTACTATATATGATATATATATATATATATATATATATAGATATGGTTCCTGTTCTTGGATTAGACCGGATATGGGAGTAGCACAATGTTTTATTGGAACTCCACGTGGAGAAATGATGGGCGCTTCAAGGAACAAATTCTAATCAGTTTTGATTTTTATCTAAAATCTTTTGAAGTATTTTTAGAAACAGGTTTCCGATTTTTCAAAATATTTATTGTAATTGTTCACGAAAAAATTGAATTGGGGTTATTTATTGCATTTTTGAGACCATATTAATGAATGAAAATTAGCAAAATTAAAAACACCATTTAAATAAAAGATCTTGAAAGCGCATTCTAGTTATTTTATCAATTATATATTTAAAAGAACATTGATGTTTCATGAAATTGAAGAAGTGGTCATTAGTTGAACATGAATACGATCGTACAGTGATTACCAGACACTTATAAAATGACTTTTTTGTGAAATGGGTCTGTTTACACTGCACAATTGCCATTTTTCATGGTTATTAAAATTTTTAAAGTTAAAACTTGATTCTTAAAGTCGTCTTCCTATTCCAGAGTTTTCTGGTTATCGCTGTAGTAACATAAATATTATACATTTATGTTTAAAACAGCGTAGCCTACTAAAGTTAATCTGTAGATTTTAATCGGAAAACCGAATTTGAGATTAAAACAAGATTTTAATTTTTTGTTGTACAGTTTCTTCAAGACAGCTGAATTCATGTACTTCCAGGGTATCCTGCTTGTACTTCAGGAATATTTTTGTACATAACACAATTTAAAATATTTATTTAACACAAAAACAAAAAAACATTTATTTTTATTTCAAAATATGAAAAAATTTTAGCTTTAATTATTTTTTGAAAGACTGCAGATTTCAAACATAAAATTATGTTTTAAATATTCTTAGAGACAGGAGCTTAATTACTTTTATAAAGAATTAGAATTTTAATTAACTCGAACAGAATAATTCACCATAAAAATTTGAATTGAAAAAAAAATTAGGTTTAAATTTATATTCTTTACAAAAAGAATCAGACGTAAATTTCAAATTTTTTTAGACAACAGAATCAAGCTTAATAAATTGTACGTCGAAAAATCTTCTTAAAAAGCAAAATAAAAAATAAAAAGTTTAAATTTTATATTATGCTTTTAAAATGTTATCGTACTTAATACTCTAAGATCACCAACATTATTTTCTTCCTAATTACTGTTTACTTTCTGGTAATTAGATTTGAATACCTTTATCAGAAAATCATCAAATCTATTTTTGATTTAACATAATCAAATTATAATTTGATTTTGGAAAATGAAACCAATTGGACTGACTGTTTCCTTAATTTTAAGTAATTCACATTCATTAAAGGCTTTTGTAGTTGAATTTTGTAGTTGAATTTTGTAATTGAATTTTGATAATATTATTTAATATTTGAATTTTGGCGGAACTTCAGAAGATTGAAAACCTTTCGGATTTCCAGGACCAAACTTGAATTGAAGGGGTTGCTGAACTACATATTGCCGGTTCAAATCCTGAATCTCCTATTCAAAGTTAAAGATTTATGAGTATTTATTAGTAATTAATTGAAGCGTAAACATCGGTGGATTCAGGATTTGAACCGGTGGTGGGTTGTTCATCGCCTTCTGGCAAATCATTAAATTCGGTCTCTGAATTGAAACCTAAATGAATATTTTTATAATACCTTTGTGAAAATGTTTGTGAAATCTAGCTAAAGTGATTTCAAGAGACCAATTATTATTAACAGTGGCCTGTCCTATTCACAACCGTACCCCTTTAAACCATGGCTGTTCATCGACGACACATCGTGAGATCCCCATGTTACCATCTGAAAACTGAGTGTCATAAAAACTCAAGTTTACAATTTACGCAATATCCTATTCGTGCGAACGAAGGCTTTAAATTTTCGGTAAAAAATAAAAGCACATTTAAAGGGTCACTTGAAATTACGTCTACAGTTCCTGTAAGATTTTAATTGTGTTGAGGTTGATCATTGGCGTAAATCTTCTTATATCACTAAAACCGGAGAAAACAAGGGAAACTTCCTCATCGTGGTGAAACTCTTCTTTATTATGGGTCAGTACATTTTTAACTTTTTTATTTTTAAAATTTTAAAATTTTATTTTAAACTAATGTACTATTTGCCGTCTGTAACTGAAAAAAACTGCGTAACACTGCTTGGAAAAATCCGCGAGGCCAGTTTTCGAAACTCAAATTTGAAAAAAACAAATTTGACGCGCACGCCGCGCCTTGAGGAGTCTCAGAAAACGTTGATGGAATGTCAAAAACATTAATGGAGTCTCAAAAAACATTAATGGAGTCTCAGAAAACGTTAATGGAGTCTCAGAAAACGTTAATGGAGTCTCAGAAAACGTTTTAATGGAGTCTCAGAAAACGTTAATGGAGTCTCAGAAAACGTTAATGGAGTCTCAGAAAACGTTGATGGAGTGTCAAAAACATTAATGGAGTCTCAGAAACGTTTTGTTATCAAAACATATAAAGAAAACCTCTTTTCACAGAAAGTGAAAGTTTGCTGACAAAGCGCAAAAATCAAACTGTGCGTAAAAGCCAAAATTTCAAGAAAATGAATATTCATAATATTACAGTATTTTCATTTGACTTTCGTCTGAAAAGTCTAAACAGACAGACAGTGAATAGTTTGTACAAAAGTTGCATATCTAGCTCGTGTTTATATAGATTAATAGGAAGGATGTTTATTCAGTCCCAAAATACAACTTTTTAAAATCTCTTTTATCAAATATACACTGTTTATTTCTCAGAAATCAATTGATCCATGGAACAGTTTTTACGCCTCCCTCTATTTGTAAATCCCATATTCTTCTTATTCCTCAGTTTAAAAGGACTATAAATGTCATTACAAGCTTTTCCAATTTACAACGATACCCTTAGAAGCGACTTGTATAATTAAGAATGAATAAAGTGTTTTTAAATTTGACAGTTTTGGATTCCCGTGGTTAGTGTCTTGCGGATTTTTGCTACAGAAACATTTGATAATCATACTAGGACCAACCACCTTTCAGGATGAAAAAAACCCGACCATATCATCGACAGTTTTGAACAGATAAAGGTTTAGAGGGCATTGTCCTCTTTAAACAGAGAGTTACTTGAAATTACGAGGACAGGCCTGCAGTGTAAACAGATCCATTTCTCTTAATTAGTGATTTAGTAAGGAGGACAGTCCTGCAGTGTAAACAGATCCATTTCTCTTAATTAGTGATTTAGTAAGGAGGACAGTCCTGCAGTGTAAACAGATCCATTTCTCTTAATTAGTGATTTAGTAAGGAGGACAGTCCTGCAGTGTAAACAGATCCATTTCTCTTAATTAGTGATTTAGTAAGGAGGACAGTCCTGCAGTGTAAACAGATCCATTTCTCTTAATTAGTGATTTAGTAAGGAGGACAGTCATGCAGTGTAAACAGATCCATTTCTCTTAAATAGTGATTCAGTAAGTGTTTTGTAAAAAAGTTTGCTTTGTTACTGCATCAAATGTATTTAAGTGTTGATATTAAGTCGTCTTCCTATTTAAGAGTTTTCTGTATATCACTGTAGTTTAAACATTATTTCAGGAATTCCTTGGCTGGGAGAACTGCTATCACATTCTCTAACCCATGTTATGGGCCCTGATGCCTCCTTCTATTACAGGAATAATAAAAAAACTTTATTCATCTTTAATAGGACCAACATATTGATTGATACAACATTTTTAATACCTAATTGGATCTTTCTTGCAGAGCATATGCATTTGCTAAATATAGAATTCACGTCTACGACTTATGTAATGTATAATTCTTCACTATAAAGACATTTTGACCCAAAAGTCCTATATGGGTTTGCAGATTACTGCTCCTAAATTAAAGCTAAAAAATGAAATATAGTTTGAAAATAACTGGTTTTGTTAGACATGAAAAATGTTAAGCCAAAGCCTGGTAACATTCTTAAGTTTGCACGGCATAAAAACATATGTAGATAGCCTAGATACTAGATAGTGTACAGTGTATAGTACACTCAATATTCTATTATTTATTTATCTTTTGCTAGGAAATTGCCGGGAAATGCATTATTTAACAGTTTTAATACCTTAACACTTTACTCTCAGTTTAATTTGAAAATAGTGTTTGCTTTATTTTTCAAAACACATTTATTCCATCAAAGTAAATTAAATACTTAGACTTTGATGACCTTTATCTTTTCTCCTATCTACAATGTATTCTAATTCTAAAATTTGCCAACATTTTTTATTAGTTTTTTTTTATAATAGGGTAGTCATTGATTGTGCAAACCTCTTTACGGTAAGTCAATTTTAAGATAAAATATGTCTAAAATTAAAATTTCAGTAGATATCTAATTTTTTTTTTCAGGGAGTTCTTGTCTTTCTTGTTCTGGTTTGCAAAAAGAAAACTGTTACGAGGTAAATCAATTGTAAAATATATAAACATTTTTTTTAGATATTTTTATTTATTTCTTAAAAAGCCAAAAATATATTTTCAAAAATAATTTTTTAATTTGTGCATAAAAGTACGGAGCCATTTGAATTTCTTTTTCTCATTCTTTCATAAGCTATATATCAAATTACTATTTTCATTCTTCTTCAAAACATTATTTTTTGTTGCTGATTTTTAGGAAGATTAAAAGAAACTTTCAAAGTATTATAAATTAAAAATCAATTTGGTTTAATTTCGTTTTCTTCTATAATGTAAATATGGGGGCGCAGTGCACACTCAATTAAAAAATCCATTTTAAAACATTTAAATGAATTGAAAACATTTTGTAGACCATATTTAAACCCCAAAATGTTTTAATCTCAGATACATCTATATCAGATATATTAAAAACATTTGACACAACATAATAACGTATGTAAAAGTTGAAAATAATAATGTTTGAATGTCCGCTCATAACTTACATGAACCCCTGGACCGATTTGACTCAAATTTTTATTGGGGAACTTGGTAGAACCACGGGGAATGTTCTTAGCTGGGGTTTACAAGTTCTAAATTGAGTGGAATTTTTTAAAGAAAAATTAGCCTCCAGACAAAGGAAGGAAGGTTACCTAGCTAGTATCTGGACACTGGAACAGCTAAGGAAGGAAGGTTACCTAGCTAGTATCTGGACACTGGAACAGCAAAGGAAGGAAGGTTACCTAGCTAGTATCTGGACACTGGAACAGCAAAGGAAGGAAGGTCAAATTAATGTGACAATATTGTTACGACTTTTGGACCTCGTAGCTCCTCTAGTCTTTATTTTAAGCACAAATATGAGAATAGAAAATTTATCCGGTTAAACACTAGAAATTCAAAACATTTTTGTTCTTTTTATAAATTGTACAGAAACAGAAGTTATAATTGGAATCATGTAAACGTACAAACAACTGATACGATCTTATCGGGTCCAACATTTTTGAGGCAACATACATGACCCCAGGGGAAGGTTATGGAATATGGATGATCAGAGTTTGTTTCCACAAACATTAGATTTTCGTGCAATTTTCAAAATCCGCAAAAATTGATGAAATCCGCGAACCTTTTTTTATATTATTTTAAATTTTATTTATTTGATAGAGCCACAATTCAAAATCCTAGTATAATAAAACTAGCATGGAAACCCAGCTTACACTGGAAACTGTACTTACCTAGAAATAAATCTTTCGTTTTAAGAGTGAGTTTAGAACTGTTAAACCTAGCTAAGAACATTCCCGTGGTTTTACAGAGTTCTCCAATCAAATTGGAGGCAAATTGGTTGACGGGTTCCTGAGTTATGATCGGGCATACAAACAAACAAACATACTTTATATATGTAAATAGAGTGCGTACTCGCCTGCAGCATAACTCCCAGCTGTCTAGAGGGTCAACTTTAACTACATCTACCAAGGATACAGTTCAATGGTACAGGTATATTGGTCTATGTACACTTAAAGAGATTATTTACATATTTCATTCATTACAATAGTCTGCTAATCTTCTTCTATATAATAAAGTTCTTCGCGCATATATATCTATTTGTTTGTATATATGTTAGCTATAGCTGGCCAAACAGCTGGACCGAATGGGCTGGCAATTTTTGAGGGAACCCATGGGTACCTGGAAAACAAATACATTATTGGATGAAAATGAAAAAAACTCTTTTTTTTATAAATGACAAAATATTCGAACATTTATATTTTTTGATTTAGGGATAAAGACAGTGTTCATCAAACAAGAGACACTAGGCAACCAATTAATTGTTTAAAACAAAAATAAAAAAATATTCAATTTTTCATTGAAATATCAATGAAGAATGGTGGAGCACATGCGGAATATCTCAATAATAATCCTGCGTTAAAGTGCGAATCTATAAAAATGCGCGCAAAATTAAATTGTAAAATGATATTTGCTCGTAATGTAAGTACAGACTGCTTGTATAAGCTTTTCTTGAATTATAAGCAAATAAAAAGTTTTAAATTGAAAAGTAAAAAAAACATTTTCTTACAATTTTGAAAAAGAGGCGTAGTGCATAGTATATAATAACATAATTTAAGCAAATGTTCAAGAATAGCTTTTGACGGTTAAAATTTTAACAAATTAAAAAAAATTGTCCGGTACAAACTAGAATAAAAAATATCCTTTAGTTTAAAACATGAAAAAACATTGTGTTTCACCTTTTAAGTAAAAGCTAATTTTATGGCCCCCGCGTCCTCTGTAATTGTATCCGCCTCTGCTATCTAGCAAGATTTTTGTCTGTCTATTTGTTTAATTGGCCCTATCAAATTTTGAAAAAAAACGACTTTTATGATTAATTTATTCCAATTAACTATTAGCTTTATATCAACATCAAATAGACACACTGCACGGTGTAAAGTGAATGATTGATTGTTGAGAGGAGGAGACCAGCTGAGATTAAAGGTCTTCTTCAGAAACCAGCAACAACAGACCGCTGGTTCAATTAGATCTACATCTAACCAAGAGGATTATCTATAATTATTTCATCCCCCCATTCTCACCCTTAATCCCNCCGAAAATTTGAATTATTACAATTACATTCTTTTGGGTCGGGCTTTCAAAGTTGTTTGCATCCTGTTTTCATGGGATATCTACTTGAAACAATGTGGCATTAAAGGGACAGACCGGCTATGTTAGGTAGTTAAACTGAGTATGCAGTGTGGTGGACAAATTCTTTAGGAATCATTTGAGACATCTAAAACTTTTTAAAGACCTGTTAAACCTGAGTTTGAGCGCAAAGTCGACAAAAAATGTAAACAAAATTCTACAGGAACTAATCATTAGTTGTTATGGAACAGATTGAGAAAATAAAAATTAACTCTTATCATCGAAAATACGTAATCTTATTCGATTATCAGTTTCTATAATCTGTCTTTAATTACAAAGATTTTCTTGAATTTTTATTAAAAAGACGACATTTGAAGAAATCTGCAAACAAATTCATAGAAAATAAGAAATTCAATATAATGATGAAAAAGTAAATAATTAATTCTAACTTCGATTTATTGACAAATTTCTTTTGAGAAATATGTTCCTAAACATCTAATTAGTTTACTAAAGAATTTTTACTATATTTTCGTCGTCGTTATTTAATAGTTTAAAAGAACCCGATTCTGGAAACTTACCCACCCAAAAACATGATTTTGAACGTCCACTTTGCGCTCAAATTCAGTAATTATACATCGTGGAAACGTTTTATATATCTCAAATAAATTCTAAAGAATTTATCCACAACATTGCATACTCAGGTTAACTACCTTACATAGCCGGTCTGTCCCTTAAAAACCAATGGAAATCAAAACCGCTTGAGATTCAATGAAACCATGGGTTTATCTTGGAATCCCAAGGGGGTTAAAAATTTCATCAATTGTAATTTTCTGAGAGTAAATGATATTCATTTGTAAAGGTACCTGCATGAATAAGTTTTTAGATTAGTAGAAAGTTGCAAAAAAACATAATGATAAGTATAATCATCATTACTTAACATTAGCCGATAAATAAAACAAAACATTTTCAAAGAATAAAAAACATGAGTAAAACAAAGTGTAAATTGATTTGCAATATATCAAAATGTTATTGTTTTGTGAAATTCAATCCGAGATGCACCCTTTTCCGAATTGCGACCTATAATCAAATGGTGACATTAAAACGGAAGTAATTTAGTTTTATATATCTTCTGTATTTTATTACTTATTTGGGATAACAGGATTCAAGCTTGTTTGTAAGCAAAAACGCATTAGAATGTCGTCGTCTAATGGCCTAGTCCGTTCACAAAAAGTAATCAAAATAGCTTGATTCTTTTAAAAATCTTAATAATCTCCCCAAAAAAAAATTTTTTTTGTTGAAAAAAGCATAATGATGATTAACCATGAATAACCCTTAACCAAAGAACAAATAGTATGAATATTTGCAAAAATATAAAACAATATTAGGTGTTTTGAAATAATTAAATATTTTAAAAATATGTTTTTTTAAAACCATAATTTGCTCCGCCTGTAACACGCAAGTTTGGACATTTTAGAAAAACCCTGAAACGAAACCAAAATCGATCATGCCAATTTAAAATAATACGCCATAACTTAAGTACTTGGTCATTTATAACATTAGACTATGAGACTATGCCAATCTATATTCTATTATATTCTATATTATAAAAATCTATAAATTCGGTCAATAAAATTTATACTTTTTAGAGACTGCATTGGTTCAAGAAATCAAGACAGTATTATTTCTGTTCTATCGTCTCTGAACTTCTGAAGTCTCATTACATTATTTTAGATGTTTATAAATGTATTTGCATTCCAGTAACATTTTACTTACTTCTTTCTTGTTATATGTCGTATTATATTAGATTAGAAAGAGGCTGAATAGTAAGTAAAAGTATTTATAAAATTTAATTTTTCATGTCAAAAAATGCACCAAATTTTCTAATGTACAAATCCACCATTTACCTAAGTATTTATATTCACGTGTTTGCAGTTCAGCTAAGGGTGGGATTTATATGTCTATTCTCAATGTATGTTAATGTTGCAATATATCTTGATGTCTTTATGTTAATAATAAATGTTAAATTGTATTTTTGGTTGTTTGAGAGTTTAAGATATATCTCAATTGCATAATACTTAATACTAGCTTGGGAACCCAGCTGACAGCTTTGCATTGGGGTTTCCTTATAAAAGTCTACCTCGTCTACCAACACAAGGAAATATTTTTAAACCACACTTAGAGTATGTCTGCGTAGTTCTACGGACCTTACCAATAAAAATCAAAGGTAAACTGGTTTATTGGTTAAGGAGTTATGATCGTACATCCAAACAAACAAACAAATAAACTGAAAAAGAGATTATTACTGGATATCAACACAAAACATATTTTTGAATTTTATTCTCATGATAAGATGTAATTTTTTTTCAACTCTATTCCCAGTGATTACGGTATTCCCAGTGGTTATGATTGAGAATGTTAATATTTAAAACAAGATTGGGATTTTCTTGATTTAATAAGACTGTCAGCTGATCTCAGAGCTGCAGGACAACTGTACACTGATTCTCCGTACCTGCATTTTCAAAATGGCGTCAACATAATTTTTATCTTAATTAAATTATTAAAAAATTAAAAACTGTTAAAAAGGTTCACTGTAAATTTAGAACTTGAAAATTGAATTTCAAAAATCTGAATCATGGTAATAAAATGCAAATCTTATTGTATTGATAAAAAAATCAGCTCTTTTGTTTTGCATTCATCAAAAATGAGAAGTGTTAGGGAACCAACATGTCGGTAGTCGGTACCTAACATCATGGCACCACTTTAGCAACATTTTGTGTCTAAAAATCATTTCTTAAATTGGATTAAATCAATGTGAAAATCAACATTTTTCAGAAATTTGAAAAAAATTGTCAAAAAATACACAATTCACACAGCGCACAAAATTTGGTAATTGATTTATGTGTGAAATTTACAGTGTATGCTTAAAAATAATTTTTTTAAATTTTACCTTTGCACGTCTTCCATAGACCATTGATATTCTTTCCTAAAAAATATGTATAGAAATTTGATAAAAGCTCAGAAAACAAATTCATCAATTATCTTGCCTTAGATGATACATCCACTGATTTTTATACCAGGTAGGAGCACCCTTAACAATATTCATGTTCATTATTTTCATCAGTATATTCATAAATCAAAATTTTGGAGCACATACTAAACATATCATCACAAAACATATCCCAACGAAACATATCAAAACATAACCTATAAACATATCTCCTACAAAATATATTGTCACAAAACATATCCAGCGACAAAACATATTCACGACAAAATATATCAAACACAAGACATGTTAAAGTATAAAACATATCAAATACAAAAGATAGGTAATTGTTCTTATTTCAGGGGAAATATAGTTCCAAAACTAACACTTGTCCCATTTCTAACACTGAGTGTTAGAAATGGGCCTAGTCTGCAAAGTTATCTGTAAATCTAAGCCGAGTTTAACAAAACTACACCATACATTTATAAAAAATGGCTAAAACTTTATATTGAAGAAAAAAATGCCAACTTAAAAATAATAATAAGGTGTGAGAATTAGATTTTGATGATACTTGATTTCACTTTTGAACATATCCCTATTTTGAAACAATTACCACATTTCAGCTAATAATGTCGCGTTTTTGGAACATATCCTGGGTTAGAGAAAATTACTCGAATTCATATCAAAGTCAATTTTCAAGCATTTACGCACATACGTGACAAAACAAGATTTTTTAATAAGCTAAAATATGAAAAAATAGAAAATAGAATTATACTGTTCTTTTATAATTAGAAAATCATTATGTTGTAAATGTCGTACTCTTAAAACTTCGTCAAGAACTGTATTAGTCCAGGTACAACTCGTCAGCTATAAATGTCAATCAGAACAATTCTGATAACTTGCGGTAACTAACATATTATATATGTTGAGATAGGGTTTGCCGAAACTTACATATTTAAAAACCTAAAGATTTTCACAAAAATCAATTTAAACATTCCTGGGCCAAATAATGTGTAAAACTGTACTGTTTACATTAGACACATGTATGCAAATATTTTATACATATCCAGTTTTTCAATAATTCTCATGGAGAAACCTTGCTGTTTGGTTTTTAGGAAATGTGGAAAAAATATTTTCCAGGAGGGAGTTTTTTTCCCAGTACTCCTGATTTCTACCAGAAAAGAAAAATCTTACTGGAAGTGTGTAATACCAAGCTGTAAAGGAAAAGCTATCACAAGTGGAGATTTCAATAAAAAAAGTCCCACAACCACAGAGCAGATACTTCTTTTGTCAGGGCCAGATTTATTGAGACAAACCTGATCAAAAACTGCTGAAGAACAATTTCATTGGAAAGGAAACCAAAAGCTTCAGAAAAGCCCTGATCTTTCCTATAGAAATTTGTCTGTGATGAAATTTTGAATAATAAACCCACCATAAAAAACCAAACTGAACGATGGTTTAGAAGTTTTACTGCTGACCATGCAGCCTGAAGTACAGACTGCAGGGAAGTCCTTTTTAGGTCTTAGAAGATAAGACACTTTGGCTAAACTACTTCTCAAAGAGCTCAAAGACAAGACCTACACTGATCCGAAGCCAGCTCAATTGACAAGAGAAAAATTAAGATTTAAACTAATTGTAAATTCTTTTAATGTATGCAATACAAATTATCTTATGAAAATAATAAATAATTAATTTTTTGTAAAATTATTTATGTTATTTATTACTGTATTGCTGTATTTATTACAATTATAGCATTGGGAAATCAAAATATTTATATTATTTTTTTCTTACATTATAGATTTAACTAGTAATGTGGAAAATTGTTTATTTAAAATGCGGGAAATGAAATCAACTCTATTCTAATTACTTAAAAAAATAAAATGGAGAAACAGATTTAGAAATAATTTAGCAGTTAATTCAATCTTAATAAAAAGAAATACTTTCAGTGATTGTTCAGTTATGAAAGTGAGCTTTGGTCTTAAAAGGGGTAATACTTAAGATGTTTACTTGCTTTCATGTTTACAGTCTGGATGGAACTTATTTGCAATTTTTTTTTCAAATTCCCGGATTTAGTTATATATTAGAAAATTTTGTATATTGATATGTTTTTTATTTTGTTTTGTTATGTTTAGTAGTTGGATATGATACGATATGTTTTGATTTGATACGTTTTGTTTTAATATGTTTTGTCATACTATGTTTTGGATGGGCTCCAAAATTTTTTTTTACTTTTTTATTATGTTTAAGTAACATTAGAAATGATTAAACGATTGATTATTAAAGGGGCTGTATTTTGAGTGACCCCCACTTTATTGCGGGGTATATGATTATATCCAATTCAAAATGATATCATTTAAACTTTTGACTAAGCTAAACTTTTCAATTTTTAGGACTCAACAGGGTCAATTTCAAAGTGGTATGCTTTGCTTTGATTTTAACTCGCATATACTTTTATGTATCCCTAAATAATTACATTTTAAAACTAAAACGCATGTGTCAAAAAAGTAATTGAAAAAATTCTCATAGATTTTAGTTTGTTACAGACAAAACCCAGCGGTATCTTTCTCACTTTTACGTAGTAAAGGTTTAAGGGGTATCATTGTAAATTGAACGTTCCGCACTTGAAATGGAGGGAACTACCATCGTCCCATTAATTTTAATATTTATAGTGAATAAAAATACCTGAAAGTTGTATCCATAATTTACAAGAATCTCTTCTCCTTCTAGTATATCCCGGTATGCAATTAAACTGATGATTTCTCCAAATCTATAGATTTAAATTATTTCATCGTTATGTTGTATTTCAGTGCAGAACCAAGAAATCATTAGAATCTGTTTTGTTTATTTACCCTTTAAAGGGAGTGTTTGAAAAAAATGAAAGGGGATATAGGCTGCTATCAAATTGAATTCGATATTGATCGCTACTAAATTTTACTTTTAACTGTTGCGCCTATAAGGATAATAGGGTTAAAAACAACTCATACGCAAGACACGGAGTTGTATTATTTCACTCAAATAGTAAATAATTTCATTGAATTTAAAATTAACTATTCAGATATTACAACCTATACATGTCAAATTCAATTTGATAAATTGGTAAATAGTTGATATTTTATGATATATTTTATGTTTTTTGGTTCACGATTTACTTAAACAACGATTATTTGGCTGCAGGGCGTCTCCGCCCTAGAAATTAAAGGGGTTTGCATGGGAGAGACACCTAGCAACACCTAGCGACACCTAGTGACACCTAGTGACACCTAGCGACACCTAGTGACACCTAGTGACACCTAGCGACACCTAGCGACACCTAGTGACACCTAGTGACACCTAGTGACACCTAGTGACACCTAGTGACACCTAGTGACACCTAGCGACACCGTTTAAAGTATTATATTAAAAGAATAAAAATATTATTAAATATCAACTATAAATGAATCCATCAAATTGAATTCCACATTTACAGGTTGTAATATATGAAAGACTAATTTTAAATTAAATTGAATTATTTACCTTTGAAACTCTACCTGGGATGATAAACTTGTGAAAAATATGAGTTTGGATTGAAGGAATGGCAGGCTTTATGTCCCAAGGTTGCATTGTAACTAAAAATTATAAAATTACAAATTAAAAGGACTGTGAACTCAAACGTAAGTGACCTTTTAATCAAAGAGTTAAATGCACAATTATATAAGAAAATGTTCTTCTCTCTGTCCCAGAATTGCCTGATGCACAATTATATAAGAAAATGTTCTTCTCTCTGTCCCAGAAATGCCTGATGCACAATTATATAAGAAAATGTTCTTCTCTCTGTCCCAGAAATGCCTGATGCACATTTGTGTCGTTTGCACATTTGTGTCATTTGCACATTTGTGTCATTTGCACATTATATATATATATAAATATACTTTGCTTTTCTGTCTTGGTGTCTTTTTTGTTTGTTTGTATCCAATAAAAGCAAAAAAGGCTAAACCCATCTAGCCCAAAATTTTTGAGACAACTCACATGACCCCAAATAAGGTTTATTGCTTGCCCAAGTTGAAAGTTTTGGGTCCAACTATCGTTCTCTAGAAAATTACCAACATTTTTGCCCGTGAAAAACGTCGAAATACACTTTTTTTTAATGCAACAATTTTAAGAAAGCTTAAAAAGGGCAACTTTCAGTGTTCAAAGCTAAAATTGTTTATATGAAAGGGGTGCGAAGCGCCATTCAAGCCTAGAAAATAAACTTTTGTTAAACTATGAAAACAAATTATGAAATACCTTGAAATACTTGTAAACTGATCAGGCACATCCAAGCTAATTTGGTAATCAAGTTCTATTCTGTAATCACTGACCAAACATTTTCAATTAATTCATCTCATTAAAGGACTTAAAGACATAATATCAAGGTAACCATTAAGGGTACCGTTGAAAATCGAGCTTTCCACTCTAAAAATAGCAGATCAATTGAAAAAGCATTGGATAAGTTTCATGGTGTCTTCATTTCCTTTTCATAAAGTATCAATTATCTTGTTTGAATAAAAATACGAATTAATCAACTTTCCTGAATTCTTCATCAACCCCAGCCACAGTACGGAATAGTTTTCTCTAAAAAGGAAATTGAAAATTTAATTTAAATTCTAATAAACTATTTTATTTGAATTTTACCTTCCTGACCCCATTAAAGAAACAAATTATATTTTCTTTTTGAATTCTTGATTTTGCAAAGAGTCCTTCGCCTGCTCCTATACAATACATGACACTTCAAGTACTTTCAAGTTACTTCATTTTATTCTGTGTATGCCTTTCCTCAATGGTACTCTTGTTATAAGCAAATATAGAAAAGACAGTTTTGTTTTTCTGTCTGTCTGTTTATTGTGATTTCTCTTTAAAGAGAGTGACCGGCTATGTAAGGTAGTTGAACTGAGTATGCAGTTTTCCACAACATTGAATACTCAGTTCAACTACCTTACAGAGCCGGTCACTCCCCTTAAAGGCAACTTGTGACTTCATGCAGCAGAGACAGAGAAGAAAAATTATTGGAATCCAGACGTTAAAAAAATACTATATCACTTAAAAACATGTTTATGTAATATGTACGTACAGAGGTCAATATTCATGGATATATGACAGAATGGTTATATCATAGTCAAGGTTTGATGTAATTTTATTGTTGGGGTATCATACAGTACGTTAGACATTGGACCCTGGACTTGAAAATTTATCTTTGCTTTTCGTAACATTTGCAGGTCTTTAAAGGGAGTGTTCGCGGAAAACTGAAAGTGGTTATAAGGCGAAAAATAAGCACTTTTGACCGCTACTAATCTTACTTCTATTTGTTGCATCTATAAGGAGAAAAAGACTTGTACCGAATAATAATGTAGCATGCACCCAAGTTGAGTAAATTGCAATACACAACTTGTCTCTGCTCTCGATGCTTTCAATGATTCCACTTGGCAGAGACACCTAGCGGAAAAAATTGTTCTTTTAAGTGCATAAGTAAAAAAATATTAGGCAAAATTAACTACATACAAATGTGGCGAAAAATAAACGATGACTCTAGGTTGTAATATCTGAATGATTTGTTTGAAATTAAATTTATTTTTTTCGATCCTAGTCGTGGATTGCAACTTTCTCAATTAGGGTTATTCAGCATACATCATTTTTAAAAATTTTCTCCTTATAGACGCAACAAATAAAGTAGAATTAATAGCGATCAAAAGAGATTATTTTTTGCCGTAAGCCTATCCCCCCTTTCATTTTTTACGAACACTCCCTTTAAACTTGGTAAATTTTAGCCTCCTTCTTTGTATCATAATTTCACTTTTAAACTTTTTTAAAAGAACAAATTATTTTAATAAATGAACGACAGTCAGCATGAAAATTGTTAGAGTCAAACCGTAAGTACTTCATAGATGTTTAAAAATTTTCCAAAACAAATCTAGGGTCCACTCAGATATAACAGCTGTGAAGCACACCCACAAAATTATATTTACACTGGCCCAAAATAGTATAGATTGGTAGATAGAAGCATATCTATAAGCGGGCAGTGATAATAGTCATTATCCTTGTTAAGTTTTAACTAAAAAACTAAATTAGTTTTTAAAAATAATTACTTCTGTACCACTGTAGAACCACTACTTTACCTTGAACCCTAGACTGTGAAATATAAACTGAGATATTTTCAAACATATCTCTCTGCTTTAAATGTTGGCCCATCCTATAAAAAAAGTGAAAGAAATTTTTTTAAATTTTATTTGAAAGGCAATAACTTTTTGTTAAATAAATTAAACAGTGGCCGAATTTAAAGAATTTGAGTGGCGGTTTAAATTTAAGCCGCGGTTTAAATATGGTTGGTTCCACTTAAAATTGTATCAAATGTTTCAAGATTTAAGCCCGCGCTTAATTTAAACCGGGTTTTGGCGGATTTAAACCGCGGCTTAAATTCTTTAAACTCCATCTCAGGATATTTTTAACTAACATTTTTTTCCTTTAAAAAATCAAAAGAATTATAAATTATGCTAGAATTCTGAATGTAAGACCCTTTTCTATTATTAGACAAATCAAAGAGGATTAGAAAAAATAAAAAATTCGAGAAGGATGGCGTTAATCAGTAAAAATTGACAAAAATTGAACAAACACAATGGATTGTATACATAAAAAATAAAAACGGTCATTGATTGCCATGTGAAACCATTCTACTAAACAAACGATTCTCTTGAACTAATGATCGTTAATTTAAATTACAAAGGAAAATGAATTGACACTAATGAATACACAATGAATGAACAAAAATAAATTAGATCTGAAGGTATGTGCCCATAATAAATAATAAATAATAAATTATTCTAATTCTTATCATTCATGTATCACACAATGGTAAAACAGATGATTTTTTATTAGTTTTATACTGAACAACAAGCATAATTCTACAAATGCAATAAATATTTTCTAACAATTAAAAAAAATTTTTTTTTACTTTTTACAAAACCACAATTTACAATTGATAAATAATATGTTGCACTAATTACTTTCATCAATCAATCTATCTTCAACTCTGGAAAGTTCTTTAAAAAAGTTAAATTTATTTCCAGATAGTGAACCAGTTTTCTGAGGCATTAAGCTGGAGAGAAGCTAAGCTTTCCTCTAACAAACTCTAAAATATCCTTGTCAAAATAGACTAGAAGAATTACCAGAATGTACGAAATGAGTCTAATCATTATCCCAAAACTTTGAAAGGACATTAAGAAGGTGATCAGCCCTATCAATCCAAACACAGTGATAAAGCTTCCTGTTCTGAGGCACACTAGTTGAATTACATTTCTGTATCTTTTCAGTTTTTTGTTTTTAAGTCTATCAGCAGCTGCGACTGACGGTTCTTTGATTGTCAACACCTTATTCTCATTGTCTTTTAGCTGTTTACTTTCAAGTTGAGAGAAGGAGTGCCTTCTCAATACTATTTGTTTAGCTGAGTTGGCTCCTATCTCGGTTAAAGATTTGGAACGACTCGAGTTGTGCATCCTATTTGGCCTCTTCGGTAGACTGGGTCCCAATGATGGAACATTGGTTTGTTTAGCCCTTGGTGCAACTTGGTTTGCCTTCTTGAACTTGATGAACTCTTTAATTAGGATGTAAGATAACTTTGATACTTCTAGCAATATTGATAGAAGTGTCATTAGAGTAATTATTGGTAAGTGGAAACATGGTTTCTGCTGGTCTTCTTTTCCCACTGTTGGTGTCGTGAAATTAACAGGAATCCCCATTTCGATTTTAAACATCAGCACCACCATATCGTGTTTTATGGAAACTTGGTCAGCGCATATAAAACAGTTATAAACAATATCTATGGCTTCTGTTGTAATGGCTATCAAAGTAACAACACAAGCCCCAGTGCTTGGACGAATTTGGTTAAACAGTACAGGGTTTACAAACAGCAGCAATCGTCCTCCTGATAAGCTGCACATCACAGTAGTAGTTAGTATCATGTAAGATCTTGTGGAGAGCAGCTCTACTGTAAGCAAAGGATGCTCTTCTATGAGGTGTGCTAGGTTCATGTTCCAAAAGTATGACAAGACTGAGGTGAGAAAGCTCCGAACAGTTGTTAAAAGTAGTAGCATCACAAACAGAACTAGTATTCTATTTAACAAATTCTTCTGGGCTATTGGCCTTGTCTCAAGAAACCATAGCAGAAATACTGAGGAAATTATAGTCAGACAAAATCCAAGACAATTTACTATAAGCGTATAGGAGTTTGGCATTTCTGGTACAATGGCCATCAGTCCAACATAAACTACTAGAATTATAAGCTTGATCCACATCTTTAAGCCCATTTCCATTTTTCCTGCTGACGATTATTGCTTGGTATTCAATGTTTAATGAGTTATATATCAAATGCAAAAGAACTTCAGCTGCAAATTTAAAATTTGTTTTCTTTTTGATGAAAAATGTTTTGACTAGTTAATAAGGTACGTTGGGTCTATCTGGAGTAAAATCCAGGGAATGTATTGTATCTCTCTGTGTACAGAGTAAAATTACCTAGGAAACAGTATGCTATTAGATTTTAAATCCAATTCCAGAATTAAAAATATTTAAAGGGAGTGACTGGCAATGTATGGTAGTGGAACTGAAATTGTAGTATTATTAAGAATTCTTTTTGGATTCATTTGAGACCTATCAGACGTTTTTACAGTGCATATTGGTTTTGTAAGAGCACAAAATTATCCCTCCAAAATTGACAATCAATGAGAATTTCTAATATTGAATTTGGATTTTTACTGAACAAATATGCACCGTAAAAACGTCTGAAAGATCTCAAATAAATTTTAAATGTTTCACAATAATACTGCAATCTCAGTTCAACACCATACATTGCCAGTCACTCCCTTTAAATACTTATAATTTTGGAGTAGGACTTAAAATCTACTGTTTCCTAGGTTTCCTTGGTAGATTTACTCTGTACACAGAGAGATACCAAACACTCCTTTCAAAATATATTTTCTATATATTTACACAATACACAGTACAGGAAACGGGGCCATAAGGGTTATCTATATATATATATTTATATATATGTATTATATATATTAAGTCGTTCTGATAGCGGACAGATTGTACCTGGATAGATACGTTTCAAGAACTTGTTATGGAGTAGATGTTTACTACAAACATTCTTGTAAAAGAAAGGTTCATTTCTGTTCTTGTGTTGATTTGACAGTTAATCTTGAACGTCCATGTCAAGTGCAAGTGTGTGTTACAAGGTCAGACTAGTTCAGAACCGGCAATTCTAAAGTCAAGATTTTCTCGACATATTTTACAAGTTTTTGTTCCAAATTCTAGGATGAGAAAATCAAGTTTGTTCAAGTTTTGTTCCTAATTCTAGGATGAGAAAATCAAGTTGTTTCAAGTTTTTGTTCCAAATTCTAGAATGAGAAAATCAAGTTTGTTGCAAGTTTTTGTTCCAAATTCTAGGATTCATATCTTACCGTGTGGCAGTTGGATGTTCATATTCCAGTTTTCTTCCATTATTCAGATTTTGAAGAATAGGTTTCAGAAGAAAACCTTCCTCTAGTTGTATATCTATCAGAATACACTCCTCGCCATTTACCATTTTACCATCCTGGCACAAAACATGAAACTGCGAGCCAGTAACATTACAATTGGATTGTTTTTGTTGTAAAATACGCGAAAAGTTTTACTTTTACAAAGTATATGCCAATGTTATCATGATGAAAAATTGTGGATGGTGGGGTGCTTTGCAGAATCCTCTCCCTCCCCACCCCCTCCTTCAGTTGTTCATATTACAATACAAAGGAATTGAGTCTTTGTCACAAACTATGATTTTCTAATCTCTATAACTTTGTAATCCAATTCCGTAGACCTTAGATATTTCAAACTATGAATTTTGTTAGATGAAAATATCTAAGTTTGAAATATCAAAGGTTTACACCATCAGATGGAAAAAATATAGGTATTAGCAAATCAGAGTTTGTTACAAAGACTCAATTCCTTTTTCAAAGGTTTTTAATGGTCTAAAATTTAAAGAAATAACTCCTTTGAAAATAAATTAAGATTTTAGAATTTAGCATATGAATTTTTAAAAATAGCATTACTCGATAACCTTTTCCAGGTTTGGGGGGGGGGGAGAAAAAGCTGAATGTATTACTAGAAAGGGGGTGCGAAGCGCCCTAAGAAGCCTAGAATACCTTGAATTCAGCTAATATGGTGAGCCACAAGTTTGGATAGAAATAAACTACTTTCCCTGTTAATCGGTCATTCCTGAAATACGATTATATCACGATTACTTAGAGGTATAGAGCAGGGAAAATAAGTTGTGAAAGTTGGTACCTATTATTGAAACCTACAAAGCCAACTTTAGTTTATTCCTAGATAAGATAAGAACAAGTTTATTGCTAAAATACATGTATCTGTGTACAGAACGAGTTTACATTTACAAATTAAATAGATTTAAGGAGAACTATTAGAGATCAGGGTGCGTTGTTATCTTATGCAAAATAGTTTATACATTTATTAGAATATCCTATTATAGAGGACGTACGGTCAAACTCTAATGAAACGCATAAAGTAACTTCCAGTATATATATTTCTTATAGCTTATTACTAGAGGGTTCAGAACATGAGTTGATATCAATATCACACGTGTAGATTCAAAGTGCAATGCCCCGTATCCGTTCTATCTCATTCTTGTGGGTCTTGTTTTAGGCGGCTAGGTATCGTCTTCCACACTATATAGTCTTTGCAAACCAACAGCTGTTTGGACCGTGCATATGCAGAAGAGATCTTAATATTTTTGAAGCAACCTGTATTGCATTCTTGGTTGGACTAGACAAGGTTTCAGATATATACCTGCCAACCAGGGGTAAAAATTCTTCCAAAATACCATAGAATGTATCCATGGTACAAGAAGAATTATGTTTATGTAGAGATTTTTTTCCCTACGCATATAGTATTCCTTTTTTAAGTAAAGATTTATTTGAGTTGTTTTTAAGTTAGTCCTGGCAAGGCTTGCTTTGTAGTAACCCGTATTATCTGAACTATTAGGTCTAAGAGTTGATAAATTATTGATTATGATTTAAACAAATAACTATTGAGTCTATTGATGTTAACAACAAATGGTTATTTAGTATTTACTGTTTTAATCTTTTTATTCTTATTGTTTCTAGTTCTTTTATCAACTTGTGATTTATATTAGTACGTTCCTGAAGCTGAATATGTGGATAGAATGAGTGTGAATAAAGAAAATACAACTCTATGTTTCATTTACATACAGTGAGCTTTTTAGAGTGTGCCGACTCTAACAGTACTAATATCAGAGTGGATCAAGTTCTAATGGTTGGAAAGTACCATAGCTCTAATGAGTAATGGTGTTGGTTCTAGTGTCGGAACTTTCAAATTACCTTGGAACCATGTCAGTATACCTACTTGTATACTGTGATAGGTAGATAGTGCACCAGTGTTAGTGTATCTACCTGTATACTGTGATAGATAGATAGCACACTAAGCTCTTGCACTAGTAGATAGATAGATAAAACTATCACACAGTGAACAATACAAGTTAAAGGGACCATTAACTTTCTCATATTCTGTTAAATATGCAGACATATTAGATTCCGAGAATGGCTAGCTCCATTTCCCACTTCTTAGCCACCTTTAATGTATCCGAAAATGTTATTTCAGGCATACTACCTTTTGAGTTGGAACCCCTCACATCCCTAAAAAAACAAATAGAAGAAACTCTCCTCCATCAGGATGATACCACCAACCTTCCTTCCAACCTCCCTTTAATCTTAAAGAAGATAGGAACTAGGGAGTCCCAGATAGCCGCCCAATCTGCATATCAAACCCAATGCAAGAATATATGCGAGATCATCGGAAGACAGGAGGATGGAGACTGGGAGATACTCAACATCCAGTTGAACCATGATCCAGAAGAGTTAAAATCCCTGAAAAGAAGAACCCTAGATGAAATTTCCCAATGTCAAAACGAAAGAAAAACAGCGGAAAAACTTCTAAAAAAGTGGAGACATACCACTAAACGAGAAAATGTTGAAGCAGGCCGGTCCTTTGAGGATGCCCTCATAGACCCGGAAGTCACAGAACCTCTACTCTGTTCTGCCAATCTGAATCTTATCCTAGAAGAAGATTCTAGCAACACTAAATTTACCCTAGCAGAGAAATTCATGCAAAGTTTGATGCCAAAGGAAATGAGGACAGCTGTCCAAAACCAAAGGCAATTAAAGGAACAGAAAACCCAAATCCTTCTGCAAATTTTGGAACCAATTAAAACCCTTCTAAACCCCTCCCCAGATGCCAAAATGCTGGGAGCTCTGAAGGAACACATAGCAAAAAAGACAAAGTTGGCCTTAGCAATTGATAACAGATTATTAAAACTAACATTCTTGCCTGAGACTCCTATCAACTCAGAGAGGGGAGTTCTGGAGGAAGTAGAGAGTGTAGATGAGGATGAGGATGCTGCTGCTGGAACTGAAGATCCTGAGAACGCACTTGTAAAGAAACTAAAGACCCAGTTTATGAACCTGAGAACCCTGACTACAGACCTTGATGCACAAACTGGAGATTTAAGTCTTGTGCATAAAATCAC